CACAGACTCCCATCATTGTCATATGGTAACCCTTCCTAGTCTCTTATCATTGGCTCATGGCTAACTCTGCCCCTCTTATTTTGTATGTGACAGCATGTGGGAAATAACTGGTGAGGGGTTGGTGATTATTATTATATAAAGTCTGTAGTTCCAAACTCTCCAAACTCTGGCTGATAAAAATAGGTTCCTGTTTCAAAAACGAACTCTGTGTGATAAAACCAGACCGTTTTTAACAACCGGACTCTGGGGTTATAGATAACTCTATTCCATAACTGGTCTACAAGATTAGCTGAAGATGCTAATGACAGTTAAAACACACAACTTGATGTGGCTCATTGAGAAAACAGAGGGAGGGAGGGAGGGATGGAAGGAGGTGCGGGGGGTGGAGCACATTCCTCAATTCACCCTGCACAGCCTATGCTACACCAGAAAGAGAGAGGACAGAGACACAGACTCACAAGTTTAAGAGAAGACTACAGCTTTTCACAAGAGTGATAATGATGGCAAGTTTGTAAGACAAAGCACTAGCAAAGATTTTACAAAGTTTAATTTTGGAACTCACTCTTATTTTGCTGTATGCTGTTGAAGGTAATTTAAAATGCTGTTTAATTTTTACTCACCGTTATACTATTTTACCGCTTTACTGTAATTAATTCAATTTATTCTTTACTTGTTTAATAATGAAGACTGCCTTGATTCCAAATCAATGAAGGAACCTCCTACTGATCCTTTGCTGGCCCCGGAGATTCCTCCTTTACTTATAACTTACTGTGATTGTATTCAACCGTACTCTGTGATGTTATTTGAAAAAAACCCAACAATTCCCACCAAGACTAAGCACTAGGAGACAGAGGCAAGGAAAAATTTCCTTTTAAGAGGCAGAAACCTCGAGCAGAACCATGGCTCAGGGTGGGCGGCCATCTGCCTCGACCGGATGGGGTGAAGGAGAGAGAGAGTGAGGGAGTTAGAGAGAGAGAGAGAGAGGGCGAGAGAGGAACAGAGTGAAAGAGAGAGAGGGATGGAAGGAGAGAGAGGGGAGGGAGGCAGACTACACAGAGATACACAGAGGTACAGACAGTAAAGGTGATGTTGCAATCTGTAGCAGAGGGTGTCGAGCAGGAACACGGGGGCAGCAGGTGACCCGCAACCACAGATCCAGACTCCACAGCTCCAGAGCCAGAAACACCTGCAGGAAGTGATAGGAGGAGAGAGGAGAGGGACGAGAAAGCACAAGACTACCGGAAAGGGGAGAAGTTGTGTTAGTAACATGCAATAATGGGATGAGGTTGCATACAGAGGGAGAGAAAGTAGAGGAGAGAGGAGCTCAGTGCATCATGGGAAATCCCCCGGCAGTCTAGGCCTATAGCAGCATAACTAAGGGATGGTTCAGGGAGCCAGCCCTAACTATAAGTTTTATCAAAGAGGAAAGTCTTAAGCCTGCTCTTAAATGTGGAGATGGTGTCTGCCTCCTGAACCCAAACTGGAACCTGGTTCCACAGGAGTGGAGCTTGATAGCTGAACGCTCTGGCTCCTACTCTACTTTTGGAGACTCTAGGAACCACAAGTAACCCTGCATTCTGGGAGCGCAGTGCTCTGGTGGGGTAGTAAGGTACTATGAGCTCTTTAAGATAAGATGGTGCCTGACCATTAAGAGCTTTGTAGGTAAGAAGAATGATTTTAAATTCTGTTCTGGATTTTACTGGAAGCCAATGCAGAGAAGCTAAAACAGGAGAAATGTGATCTCTTTTCCTGGTTCCTGTCAGAACACGTGCTGCAGCATTCTGGATCAGCTGAAGAGTCTTAATGGACTGTTTCGAGCAGCCTGATAATAAGGAATTGAACTCGAACCGAGTCGGTGACGACACTATGGGAACGAGAATACCCACTATACCACGCCTCCGCCTGCCCCCAGCGTGCAGTAACCCATAGGCACGACTAAGAGGAGAGCGCACGGGTGCCGGGTGCATAAGGAAGGTCCAGACTGTAAAACTGGGGCTGGTGGCCGTTGTTATGCGTAGGTCCCCGGCGGCACCCTGAGGGCAGGTCTTGGTGAATTTTGTTTCTAATAGTTAGAATTTTATCTTTAAAGAAGCTCATGAAGTCGTAACTATTTTCAGTGTTATACCATGGAGCTAACCGTCTTTGTTTTAGTATTTTCTTTTTTAGAGGGGCTACAGAGTCGAGTGTCATTCGCAGCGAGCCTGCAGCACTATCAGACAGACATCTTGTATAGAAATTTTTGCCCAATGGCGTGTAGTTCAGCAATACAAACTCAAAAGTTATCAAACAGTGGTCGGACAAAGAGGGATTCTGTGGAAACACCACTAAATGTTCAATTTCAATACCATACACCAAAACAAGGTCGAGGTTGTGGTTAAAACAGTGAGTCGGTTCATGAACACTCTGAGAGAAGCCAATGGAATCTAACAGAGAGATAAACACAGTACTGAAGCTGTCATTCTCAACGTCCACATGAATATTAAAATCCCCTACAACAATAACTTTGTCCGTTTTAAGGACTAAAGTTGACAAAAACTCTGCAAATTCAGATAAAAATTCAGAGTACAGACCAGGTGCTCGGTACACTATAACGAAGAGAATTGGTTGCAGTGATTTCCAACTAGGGTGTGAAAGACTAAGAACAAGGCTTTCAAATGAGTTATAGTTTAGTTTAGGTTTAGAGCTGATTAGTAGGCTAGAGTCGAAGATAGCTGCAACTCCACCTCCTCGGCCTGTGCCTCGAGGATTGTGAGTATTAATATGACTGGGAGGGGTGGATTCATTTAGGCTAACATATTCTCCATCACCCAGCCAGGTTTCAGTAAGACAAAATAAATCAATATCATAATCTGATATTAGTTCATTTACTAGTACACCTTTAGAAGAGAGAGATCTGATGTTTAAGAGTCCACATTTGACTCTCCTATTCATTTGCACTATTGCTCTTGTGGTTTTAATTTTTATGAGGTTTTTATGTACAGCTCCTTCTGTTTACCTTTGATTTAAATAATTTCGATGGTCGGGGGACAGACACCGTCACTATAGGATTTTCACTAAGTAACTCCTGAAATGGAGGAGCAGAGAAGTGTGTTAGACTGCGACTCTGCGTAGGGTTTTGGGTGGGTAACTGCTGAATTAGAAGGGCAGAGAAGTGTGTTAGACTGAGACTCTGCCTCCTGGTCTCAACTCTGGGTTGTCATGGATTTGGTCCACTAATAAACTTGGCCAGATTTCTAGAAATGAGAGCTGCTCCTTCCCAAGTGGGATGGATGCCGTCTCTCCGGATCAGACCAGGTCTTCCCCAGAAAGTCTGCCAATGATCAACAAAGCCCACATCGTTTGCTGGACACCACCTCGACAACCAGCGGCGGAATGACGACATGCGGCTATACATGTCATCACTGGTCAGATTTGGCAGGGGTCCAGAGAAAACTACGGTGTCCGACATTGTTTTTGCATATGTACACACCGACTCAACATTAATCTTAGTTTCCTCCGATTGGCGTAACCGGGAGTCATTACTGCCGACGTGAATAACAATCTTACTGTATTTACGTTTATCCTTAGCCAGCAGTTTCAAATAAGACTCAATGTCGCCCGCTCTGGCCCCAGGGATGCACTTAACTATGGCCGCTGGCTTCGCTAACTTCACGTTTCTCAAAATGGAGCTGCCAATGATCAGAGTTGGTTTCTCAGCAGGTGTGTCGCTGAGTGGGGAAAATCTGTTAGAAACGTGAACAGGTTGATGGTGCCCCGTGGACTTTGAATGCTTACGACTATTCCTCCTTCGGACAGTCACCCAGCCCCCCTTTCCTGGCTGCACAGGGGATGCCGGGGGACGGCTACCACAGGCTAACTCAGGCTGTTCCGCACCGACTACCGGAGACTGGCTAGCTACAGTAGCTAAAGACTGATCTACCAAGGTGCAGAGCCGGACGTCTAAATCACTGAGCCTCACCTCCATGTCTACAAATAAACTACACTTATTATTCGTACCATTACCGCTAAAGGAGGCAGAGGAGTAACTAAACATCTGACACACCGAGCAGGAGAAAGTAGGAGAGAGAGAGGGAGAAGGAGAAACCATCGCTAGCTGCTAAGCTAAAGTTGCTAACGGCTAAGCTAAAGTACTGTAGCGTTAGCTACCAAACTTTTTGAACAACTATGAGATTGAACAGCAGTCACTAAAAGATGGAAAGAACTGTGAGTGCTTAGGCAAAATTACTGTAAGAATAAGTGTTTAGCGGACAGTTGGCCGCTGTAATCTAACAAATATAACTGTTATTTAGCGAGAGCAGCACAACACGGTACCAACACACAAGCACCGGAAACGGAAATGAGTCGACACACTTACCACAGTACGTCAGCAACAGCCTGACATGGTCAGATCATCTGGGATCATTCTCTGGGCATCCCAAATATCCATCCACTAAATGTCATAATCATCATGCCAAGGTGTAAAATATCTTGCTTTGGACTAACTTGTTGCACAAACAAGTGGACACCTACATGACCAACATCATCATCCCTGCTGCTACTGAAACACAAAGCAAAAACAAATATTTCTACATATTTCATCCTACTACTGTGGCGCAACACAATTCAAACATTGTTCTGCAGTTCCCATGTCACTCTGTTGCAATCACTATTATGTTGACCAAAGAGCAAATGCAATAACAGGCGCAGTCATGTCCAAACAATAGACCCTTCCCCCCATGTATCTGCTCTCAGCTAGAGATATTCTACTGCATCCAACTCACTGTGAATTGAAAAAATCACTCTGATAGGGATTCAGACCAAACACACACAGTGGTTAGCTTAATTTTAACATTAGTTGTCGGCATTGACTTTACATGCATATATACACTGTTGATTTACAGGCAGATTGTAGATGTTTAATAGGAGGGGGCGTGTTAACAGAACAGAATAACTCTCTCGGTCAATGTGTGACATTCGCTGTCTGACAGATTTCCTCTCCTCACTTCTCCTCCTCTTTCTTCTCTCCACCCCTCAGTATCACAGAGGCAAGCTTTGGACAAGTTCACAACTAATCTAAATACTGTAGGAGCCAAAGCCTGCAGCTCTGACTTTAGGTCAGCTCTACAACAGTTTACCCGGAGAAAGTTGTGTTTTACTCCAGTGATATTTTCAGGTTTGGAAATCACCATGGTTCATAGCATAGACATGGAGAAGCAACAGACGCGTTACTGCATCCGCTGTAAGCATGTAGTCATCATCTGTGTGATGCTGGTGGTGTGCGCTCTGGCAGTGGTCCTCGGTGTGGTCCTCTCCAGGTCAGACACTAACACCGCCCCCACCCCCTCCACACCAGCTCCCACAGCAGAGGCTACCCAGCCCCCTCCACCTGGCAGAGGGCCCTGCATGCCTTCCTCTGACTCCAGCGGGGACTGGAGGGATTTCCGTTTGCCCAGCTACGTGAACCCAGTACACTATGATCTGCACCTGGAGCCAGACCTGGTCGAGGAAACCTACACAGGCACCGTGGACATCCACGTCAAAGTCAGCAAGCCTACCCGCCACCTGTGGCTGCACATTAGGGAGACGTTTGTCAGCGCCATGCCCAGGCTAAGGATGCTAAACAGCCAGTTGGCCCAGAGGGAAGTGGCAGTGAGGAGTTGTTTTGAATACGGGCCTCAGGAGTATGTGGTGGTGGAGGCCACAGAGGAGCTGCAAGTCACTGGCCCAGGAGAGGAGTACGTGCTCAGCCTGGACTTCCAAGGCTGGCTCAATGGCTCTGTGGTGGGATTCTACCGGGTCATCTACACCGAGAACGGGGTAACTAAGTAAGTTCTTTGATTTAATTCTATCATAACAACGTACACATATCACACATTCATTAACAGAACAAAAAGAAAAGAAAGTAGAGTAAAAACAGAACACAGTTTAATTAACTAATTAAGTTTTAAAGGAAATTCTGGTAACACTTATTATGACTCACCCTATTACTAGATGTTTAGAACATCTTATCATGCAGTTGTAAGCACCGTTTAAATTGTTTATTAAAGAAGTCATATTATGCTCATTTTCATGGTTCATGGTTTCATTTTTCTGGGAGATGGGAACTCCCTTTGGCGTGGACTTCGGGCTTTTTCACTTTGCAAACCTATTACATGCACAAAAAAAGATATATAACTCAATAAAGGAGAGGGAAAAATGCAAAAAGCATTATATGACCTCTTTAATGTATTTGGTAATCCATAACAGGTACTGAATGATAACATAACATAGTAATAATATATAATGATGTGTTTCCATGTGTTCTGAACACAGTAACATTTTGAAACCCACCGGGGAATTATTTGATGTATAAATAGTTAATAAGAGTTAAGTTAAATACAGTGTAAGGATTTGTTCATGTGTACAATACAATGATAACTAATAATACCATAACTTATACTATGTTAACAATTAATATTTAACTGTTCAAACAGAAGTCATGGATGCTTCAATGGAGGAGTTATAAGTGTTGACAGAGACATTTAAAATATCCTTTTATATGCTTCCGACTATATTAAAGCACTTTATAAGGTAATAGATAACATAATAGAGAGCAGAATTACCAAGGCAAACAGAAAAAAATAAAATACAGTCAAATTATTAAAATAATCTTTCGATCATTAAAAACTCATAAGCAACCAGTTGTCGGTGAAGGAGTGTTGCAATATTTTCTCTCTTACTGTATGTCTGGCAGCAGCCAGTACACTAGCTGCAGAGTAAATGAAAGTATAGTAGTCAAGCCTGGCAGAAGACTCAAAGCATGAGTGACCTGTTCATGAACTCCGCTAACATCACTTACAGTATCCAGTCAGATGTTGCATAGAATTCGTTTAGAATTTTTTATTGTGTACTGAATGATCTGTTGTACATCAAATTAATAGAAAACATTTCCACTTCAAGAACATAGTGTTTTGGTGTTTTCAAGGTTTGTTTAAGGGTCAAATCCCACTCTTTCCAAATGTTGTATCACTATCTATCTTTGGTCTCTTTCTGTATTTGATTAAATAAGGATAAAACAAAACCTCAGCAAACTCCAGCTACTATTATCAAAAGCCAAAATTAAAACGTCAGAGTCACATTAGCTCACCGGACAAAGCCAAGCAGTTGCTAACATTTTCTGTTGCAAAGTTGTTCAATGATGTATTGCTTTCCATATTACCACAGGTATTATGTAAAGAAAGGATGTAACGATAAAAGTAAATGTAGAATGATTTGTTTATACTAGCCTATAGTGATGTAATTAGCTAACGCTAATTAGCTCGGACCTGCCGCTGTTTGCTTCATAACATTTAATTTAGTTTTAATTTTAATTTTTTTTGTAGAGTCACATGTTTAATAATGGCTTTTGTGGAGCTTTTTCTTTCATCGTGGCTCTGTGTAGCTAGAGAGTACAGCTGCTCTAGAGTCAAAGTCGCATCAATTCCAATCTGACCGTCCAGACTAAGGCCGCATCTCAAAAAATCTGACCTGTCTCGGATTTGGATTACATATAAAAGTGGCCCAAAATTGAAAAGATCAGATTCCATGTGAATTGGGCTGTTCAAATATTAGATCTGAGTCACATTTGAGCAAAAAAATGGGATTTGGGTCACTTTTGCCTGCAGTCTGAACGCATCTTTAGACTGTGCGATACAGTGGAAGGCTCTAGGAAAAACTAGTAAGTAGCTCTTAATTTGGGATTATTCTGTAACACAATGAAATTCTTATTTAATCAAATAACACTCTTCAGCTACAAAAAGCTTGTAGTTCCTCCTTGCTGGAGAGCAGCTCGGCTCATCTTGGATTCAAGAAAGTTACAATGAATTCCAACAGTGACACATGTTTAGACTGCAGAGAAAAAATATCAGTCATAGAAACATTTCAAACCACTTCAGACACATAATCCACTTCAGCCAAATATGTTCCAAGCTGTCATTGTTTCATTGGCTACATACACTACCTCATACATACTGAGCATTTGGATTACGCTGCAAAAGTGTGTTGAAAAGTTTCTATGGAACTTTTAATATCTTTATGGCACCATGAAATCTGAAGTATACATAGCTTCAAGCCACCTCTCAAGTCTTTAGAGTGTTGGAGTATAAGTTTAAAGTTTAGATTTGGTACTTTTTGGTTATTTTAACAGTAACCGCTGCACTGATTGAGTCCATAGGGTTCACAGTGTTAGGTACCTAATGACAAAAAGATGCTTTTTAAGAAGTTCCTCAGGGATCGGGCTTGGTCAGGGGAAGTAACTGGTGCAAAATACCAGAGGTGGTCTCAATCAGAGATGACACTGCCATTGTTTGACTGTTGTATAAATATAAAAACCATTGGAAAAAGATGTAAAACACCTGGTCCAAAAATCTGTTCTTCATTTGATATCCAGAAAGATTGCTGCGACTGATCATGAGCCAACAGATGCTCGCAAGTCCTTTCCCTGCTTCGATGAACCCAACAAGAAGGCCACCTTCAAAATCTCCATCACTCATGATGCTAACTATGAAGCTCTGTCCAACATGCCGCCTGAGGTAGGACTCAAGTCAGCAATACAAAACATTATCATTTTAAATATATACAGTGGTGTGAAAAGTGTACAAGATAACACATGTAAACACAAAATGCATTTTTAAATGAAAAATGTTTTTTATTATTAAGGGGGGAACTAAACGTAATAACTGGTTGGGCCACCCTTAGCAGAAAGAACTTTTATTATTAAGGGAAAAAAATCCAAACCTACATTGCCCTGTGTGAAAGAAAGTGATTACCCCCCTGTTAAAACATAAATCATCTGTGGTTTATCACATCTTTGGAAAGCTGTGTTCAATTTCTCAAGCCACACCTAGGCCTGATTACTGTCATCCTACCCTGGATGGATGACGAAGCCACAGAGAGGGCAGGCAGAACGCTGACCCTTTTGGCTGACATCAGAACCACGAGCAAGGCGACCCTGGCCCGAAAAGAACTTCAGGTCCGCTGCCTACAAAGGCTTGGGTCAGGGCACATAAAACCAGCGCCAAATCCCACTGTGGAGCGCCATGCCTGAGAAGAGGCGGCTCTCGACCCCTGGGTGGTGTACACCACCTTCAGGGAGAGACCTAGACCCTCCAGACGCCGCCTCTCAGCGGCCAGACCCACAGATCCTCCTCTGCCACGCTGAACCTGAGCCAGATCTGGGCCACCAGATCGGGGTGGAGGTGCCACTCATCTGGGCAAGGGCCCCGCCTTGACATGATGTCCGCCTGTTAAGCAATATGCCAGGAATGTACTGGGCTCTGATGGAGAGCAGAAAACCCAGGTGAGACAGGTGTGCGACGAGCCTGGCTGTCTGCACCACTGTGTCGTCTCGGGACTGCACCAGCAGCAGCAGGTTGTCGATAAAACAGGACCCTGATGACCACCCGCAGCAGCGGCTCCAGAGTCATCTTGAAACACTTGGAGAAAGTGGCCAGGAAGTAACCAAACGGCAGGCGGTTGTACTGGTACTGGGCGCCCTGAAAGGAGAACCACAGCTGCAGATTAGCCACCTGGCTAACAGCAGCCTGCTCACACAGTGTGGGGAATGTGTGCAACGTGGACACATGTGGTCTCCCTGGTCGGCTGATCCAGGAGCAGACTGCATGTCAGCTACACGTTAGCTTCCTGTTAGCTTAACGTTAGCATCCTGTTAGCTCAACGTTTGCTTGCAACATAGCAATCAGACTCCCGCTTTTCCGGTAACAGCAGGTCAAGTGCTTCGTCCAGAGAGTGGGTGGCCCGCCACACATCCTTGTACTGAATGGCAAACCTATCCACCCAGCGCTGCTCTTCAGGGGAAAGAAGGACGCAGAACGGGCAGTGTGAGCTAGGAGTGAGCACTCAGTCAGCATGCTCTGGTCCGAGGCATGCCTCGCAGCAGGGATGGAGATCCCCTGGCATGATGTTGCCCATGTGGCAGACGCCACACACCCGTACGGATGTAGTGGCATCATTGGAAGACATTGTTCTTCTTGTTTCCCGGCTGTAAATCTTCTGTCATTAGACAAATCTTCTACTCTTTAGACAGCTCAATGCTGAAGAAAAATGGGTGCAGTTGGCTGTGTATGTATATAAGGTGCGGACGTGGGAGAGGTCCATGCTGTGGGTGGGTATAGACAAGCTTTCTCAGAACATCACACCTGGACTATTAGCACTTGCAACCCCAGGGGTGTGTGCTCAACCCACTGCTCTTCTCCCTCTTCACCAACGACTGCACCTCAGGAGACCCATCTGTCAAACTCCTGAAGTATGCTGATGACTCAACGATCATCGGGGACGCTGATGGTCGGCCTACAGACTCAGCATCATGGACTTCAGAAGGAGCCCTCCCACTCTGCCCCCTATCACCATACTCAACAGTCCTGTGTCTGCTGTGGAATCCTTCAGGTTTCTGGGATTCACTATATCTCAGGACCTAAAGTGGGAGCCCAACACTGACACCATCATTAAGAAGGCCCAGCAGAGGATGTACTTCCTGCACCAGCTCAGGAAGCTCAACCTGCCTAAGGAGCTGCTGATCCACTTTTACACAGCCATCATCCAGTCTGTCCTCTGCACCTCCATCACTGTCTGGTTTGGATCTGCCACCAAAAAGGACAGGAGCAGACTACAATGAACAGTCAAGTCTACAGAAAAAATCACTGGTGCCAACCTTCTCTCCACTGACAACTTATACATTTCCAGAGTCAGGAAACCGTCAGGAAACATCACTGCAGATCCATGTCACGCAACCTGTTCCAACTTCTCCCCTCTGGTAGGCGCTACAGAGCACTGTACCCCAAAACCAACAGACTGAGGAACAGTTTCTTCCCACAAGCCATCACTCTGATGAACAGCTGATTTCTGCCTCACAGTTTGGGGAACAATTTCTGTGCAATAAACTCTAAATCAGCCACCTGTTTACTGGTTACCACTTATTATTATTTATTCATCATTCTCTATTTCAGAGCTGTTCATACTGTTGATATTGTCATTTTGTATATTGTATATACTGTATACCACCTACCTCAAGTACATAACACCTGCACATAATACCAGCATCCTTTGCACTATGCTCCATCACACTGTGTACATGTTTATGTGACATGTATATGTATATATGTGTTCTCTATACTGTAGCCTGTGTGTGATTTTATTATTGTATTATTATTGTATTATTGTATAAGTAAGCATATCGTGAGCAATGTACAATCCTGAGTCAAATTCCTCATATGTGTACACATTAGGGATGGTGATCGTTAATTTTAATTAATATTGATTCCCTTTTTGAGACTGCTTAACAATCCTATTCTTTATCGATACTTTACTATTATTTAGTGATGGTTATTTGGTAAGACCAGACCCAAGGGGTATGAGGTAGATCCCCATCCCTAGTACACAGATTATTTTAATTAATAAACATCAAAATGAAAACCTCAGCTGGTGTCTTCTTCCCAGTTTGCTGTAGGTAGAGCAGTATAATTTCTCAAACTTTCCCACAGTGAAGGGAAAAAAACAAAGAAAGAGGAAGTCAGGTTTGGAGGGAACACTTTGAATACTAAACGAAGAGGAATCAATCTTTCTGCCCCTGTCCGAGTGACATCTACATTAACCCATTAGACTTTTCCTCTGCCTCTCCAGAGTGCCCCTCAAGAACTGCCTAGCAATAAAAAGAAGACCTCCTTCGAGAAGTCGATTCCAATGAGTACCTATTTGGTATGTTTTGCTGTGCACCAGTTCAGCTATGAGGAGAGAATTTCTGCCCGAGGAATTCCTGTGAGTTTACCATCATGTATCACTATCAGTGCCATCAATTTTCAAGAATTTGTGAAAAGATTTGAAATGAACTATTAGATTTGTACTGTCAGACACATAATAATACATGCACATGTGTGTGTTTTGTCTTCCTCTACTTTACAGTTGAGAATCTACGCCCAGCCAAGTCAGTTAGGAACCGCAGTATATGCAGCCAACACAACCAAGGTCATCTTTGATTACTTTGAGGAGTATTTCAACATGACGTACTCCATCTCAAAACTGGGTACGTTTGGACAAACTCTTTCACTACACAGTAAGCAGGGAACTGATTGGCATACTAACCAAACCTGATTACATAATATACATACTGGTGTTCCACCTTAGTGATCACAAGGAGAAATCTAAAACCCCCTGCAGTTGCAGTGCAGTTTTATTTCAAGCATTTTTTCTTTTTTTGTGATTCTATTATTTAATCATACAGTATTTCCCCTCCAAAAGAAAACTATCCCCACCCTCCCCCCACCCTCCCCCCACCCACAGGATTTCCACATTATGTCACCTCTAGCTACAACAGTCGAAACCACCAGAGTTGGTCAGAACACCACCCCACAACTGGGCCCAGCTGGCCAATGATTTACAGTTGCACCTTAGTACATGCAATAGAATCAACTACAATGGTAAGACTAACATGTTTTGCACTGTTACCTTTGCAAAGACTGAGGGGAACTGCAAAGGTGAAAACAACTCAGAATCTTAAATGAACTAAAAGTAAAGTGGTTAAAAGAGCCATTATCCAATCCGATGGAAGACAGTGGGCATCATGGAAATAACAAATGTTAGGAAATCTGTAAGTGAGAAATTCAGCACAGTGTTTTGGAAGTACTCATAGGGTGTTTAGCAGACATACCTCCTCAACAGTCACATTAGAGGAAATAAACATGCCTTTATGTGAACAGTAAACTTCATAGCAATCTATCCAGCAAATTTTCATGTCTTGTGTAAAACAGGGACAAGTAATTGTGGTGGTAGAGGAAAGACCAGGTGGTTACCTAAAACAGGTTTTTGAATGCTATTTAATAAAATGAGGAATTCTCTGAGGATGAAGCACGTTCATTCCAACTTTGATGGCAAGATAAAACCTCGCTGTCTCACAAGAATGACTAAGGCAATCATGCAATAAAACCTGATAAACGGTTACTTCAGGGGACTCTGTGTTTTTGATCCAGATAAGATTGCCATCCCTGACTTTGGTACTGGTGCCATGGAGAACTGGGGCCTCATCACCTACCGAGAGACCAATCTGCTGTACGATGAGAACCAGTCATCTTCCTACAACAAGCAGCGAGTGGCCAGTGTTATCGCCCACGAGCTTGTTCACCAGGTAACAAAATCTAGTTACTTATTACTTACTCTGCTCATTTCATTTGTGTATTTTATTCATGTGGCACATGTGGCATCCAAGACTATTAGGGGTGTGACGAGATTTCTTGCCACTAGATTTCGGAAATCACAAGTGTTTCAGTTACTTTCCTATTCACATGCAACATGCAGTCCCACACTGTGTCAAACAGTCTGAAGGGGATTTTACCAGTGGAGGAATAATGTGATCAAGTAAAATTATGAATTCTTAGTAAATGATGACGTGGAACATGAGCAGAAAACCCTCTGAAACACTGGAGCTATTAAAGTCCAGGTGTTTCTAAATGAATGAATGAAAGAATTGAAGTGAAAAGGTGTCACATGCACAACTTACTTACTACTTGCTTACTCAAACAAAGACACAAAAGAGGAAAGAAAACTAAACCATGCCTGCATGTATGCAGCAGGGATGATATTAAGTGAAAAAAGTTGATCTACAGGAGAAATAGATCTGAAAGAAACACAGAAGCCTGAGAGCTGCACTGCATTTTATTCAGTTATATTTTTAGATTTTAAATTTCACCTGCCACCTGAATTTTGTGTTTGCCTTTACATGAATAAAAATATTTCCAGCATATATTGGTGCACAAAAAAATCACCAGATAGTATACCAATTATTCAAATAATTTAGCTTTGAAGATTTCTTAAAAATAGTGTCATAAGCTTGTCTCGTCTCGGTCTCATGGAGCTGATCTCGTGTTTCGTCTCGTGGGTTATGATGGCAACATTGTCACACCCCTAAAGACTACATACACTATCATGCAGGACTTTTTGCACTTTGTGGTGTTGCATATATCTGAAACATGAAGGCAGAGGTGGAAAATAATTCTGTAACTTTACTCAAGTACTAGACTTTATTAGTATTACTGAGTATTGTATTCAAGCTATTTATCAACAACAACAACAATTAAAGCTGCAAGCAGCGTTGGGCGGGCCCTCGCACGTGTAGCGCGTCGGGGTGTGAGGCGGGGAGGAGTTTGTTAAAGTACGGAGTGTGTAAATCATCCATCCACATAAAATTCAAAATGGCCGACTTCCTGTTGGGTTTAGGGCATCGCTCCAAGAGGCTTTTTGGTACGTCTGGACATGATACGTGTGCCACAGAAATTTCATACATGTAGGTGAAACGTGCGGCGGGGGCTGCTTTGTTAAAGGTCACTTCCTGTTGCCAGCAGGTGGCGCTATGACTGTGGGTGAATGTGTTCAGGGCGGGACTCTCATCCTACATGTACAGTTTGGTGCCCATTGACGAAAACTCGCAAATAGCACAACTTTTCATCTTCAATGCCTTTAGAAGGCACAGCAGAAATTTGAGGTCGGTCAAAATAAATCCCTAGGAGGAGTTTGTTAAATTACAAAGTGTGTAAATCACCAAAAATGACCATTAAATACAAAATGTATTTATTTATTTCAATATTATTATTATTATTATTAAAGATGTGTGACAGAAAAGGATTTGAAATTTGAAATTTATGCCATCTATCCAATTAAGCATAGCATAATATAACTGACAATAAAGTTGAATTAAATTGAATAGAGGTAGTGAACAATTAGACAGCCATGGCAGTGAGATTGGAGTAAAAAATAAAATGTTTCCCAAAACCAGAGTTCCATCAGACATCCCACTACATACATTTAAATGCCTTTCATCTTGCAGAGACAAAATAGTTGTAGATATAGTACTATTGGAAGAGACCTGAGCCTATGTGCTCAAACAGAACTAGCATTCATACACCATGGAACAGCCATTGGGGGCAGTTCGGGGTTCAGTGTCTTGCCCAAGGACACTTCGAGCCTGTGGGCAACCCACTGTACCTCCTGAACCACAGTCGCACCTATGTATCTGTTTTATATCTGGTGTCTGTGATAAAATCAGGGGGCACAACTTTATGTATGAGCACAGTTTTATCCCAGTGTCACAATTCAAGTACATATGATGGAAAAACACTTATATCAGGTAAGATCCCTAAATTTTGGGTAATGGTATGAAGGCTTTTATTTTTATTTCAGACATTGGTAGAAAAATGTATTATTGAAAACAAAAGAGTCCAGAGTTCAGAATTGTAAACATCTATTATGTGCTAAACATCTATTATGTGCTATTGTTCAAGCTTTTTACAATACACAATCCGGGAACATTTCTTTCCAGCTATTTTACTCTGGGAGATAAGAGGCCTTGAGTCAGTCAATAAAGTTTTATGAAAGAGTTACAGGAATGAGGGATCAGTATTGGTTCATTTTGAATATGATGATGTACAAAGTCTTCCAGGTGGGAAGCTTTTATGAGGTCCTCTGCTTACATGTACTGAACAAGAGCAAACCCCTAACCTTTACTGTACACAGTGAATGCAAGAAAATGGTTCGGGTCCTCAGTCACAAGCTTTATCCTATCTGGTTTGTGATAATTTGAAGTTTTTCTATTCAGTCCAATTAAATACCTGTATTCATCAGCAGGGCATTAAAACATGCTCATTTATTTGGCAATATACACTAGGGCTGGCCCAAATGTAATTGTGACACAGTGTCACAATTCAAGTAGATATGATTATATATATATTAGATATATTATATCAGGTAAGCTTCTTAATCTTTTGGCAATGGTATGATGGCTTTTATCTTTATTTCATTTACTGGTGGAAAGATGTATTATTGAAAACAAAAGAGTTCAGAGTTCGGAATTGTAAATATATCTTTTAAGTGCTATTGGTCAAGCTTTTTACAATACACAATCCGGGAAAAATTATTTTTACAAGATATCAGCTATTTTACTCTGGGAGATAAGAGGCCTTGAGGTAGAGTTTTATGACCTCTAAAGATTTACAGGAATGAGGGATCAGTAGTGGTTCATTTTGAAAATGATGATGTACAAAGTCTTCTAGGTGGTAAGCTTTTATGGGGCCTCTGCTTATATGTGACTGAACAACAGCAAAACCAGAACCTTTATAGTACACAATGAAATACTGTATACACTATGCAAGGGTGGATTACCAAAGTGGGCAAATGGTAATTTTTACCAAAGTGGTTTGAGGTAATTTGATGTTTTTATCTACAGTCCAATTAAATGACTGTTCATCAGCAGGGCATTAAAACATGCTCATTTATTTGGCAACATGCACAATATAAGCTGAAAGAACCCTGTCTTGAAGATGGTACCTATGTCCTAATCTAGTTGTAATAGCATTATTATATACATAGTGAATTTAGCTGGATGTACATCTGCAGAGCATTAGTCCCATCAATACAGAGTCATGTGATACTCACCACTCTGCCATCTTAATTTCTCTTTTCTAGCAAAAAGAGACAGTAAAACAGCCATGACTTCCATTTCCTTTAATCACTGAACTCACTGTGCCTATATATGGGACAGGCTTTTAATTCTTTTTCCACAAAACCCTTGCTCATCAAAGATGGGAAATATGCTACTATCAAAATGATAGTATGAATATAACTTAATTACTTACTTAATAAACATTAGGATAAACCACTTTTATTCTTTTGATTGGTGGACCCTTACTGACTAAAGGACACATATTTGGACTAAGTAAGAGGTTTTATTCATCCAAATAACTTCGAGAAACCTAGAGTCAGTAAAAAGGGACTCTTTTTGAAGTTTACGTATGTTTCAAATTAAAAGCCTTCTTCAGGACACAAGTCTTTATTCACATTTCTCGCTATAGGTTTTCCAAGAGCTGGTTGTTGTTTTGTGTGTTTTGTTTTTATAGTCATTTTTTCTGTTGTAAATTTCTGTATCCACTTGAAGTGAATACTGTATTTTGTAAAAACAATTTTAAAAAGTAAAAAAAAAATATGATTCAGACCAGCAGGTTTGGTTTGCTAATATACACTTTGCTATGTTTTGTCTGGGCTGAACAGGTGTCATTGTGTTGAGTGCTGAAATCCAGAACATCTCTCTCTGAGAGAGTCATTTTAGTAGATTTCTCCCCCTGGCTGGAGGAGTTACAAGTTCAAGTCCAAGGATAGCAATGTTTGGCTTCATGGTAATGCTTGGCTATGTCATTTTCCATATTCTCTGTGTGAATAGCTGTTTTATGATCTGAGATTTGTTTTTTGAGTGCTCTCTTTGTTTGTCCAGCATACAGTATGTTTGTCCACAGGGGCATGTAGTGCAAGTTATGACTTCTGTGACATGTTTTCATTTTGATGGTCTTACATTGAAGTTCACGCTGGCCTGCACCTCACTGTGTGTGCTTCTCATGGTTCAGACACTATCAGAGTGAAACATTTTTACCCAAGGGGACGCCTAGCAGGTTAAATTGTCCCTGTAACTTTCATATATTTTTAATTATAAATTTAATTTGAGCATAAACCCCTTGAGATGTTATTTCCTTTGTTCAGATCCTCAAAACTCATATCACTTGTCTTTTGCCAGTGGTTTGGGAACATTGTGACTATGGATTGGTGGGATGACCTCTGGCTTAATGAGGGCTTTGCCAGTTTCTTCGAGTACATCGGTGTGGAGAAAGCTGAACCAAGCTGGGGCATGGTGAGTTCTCCTTTAAAGGCACAACAAAGATTCAACAACCTATTAGTCCCATTGACCACTCATTTTGAGGCCTTCAGTACTCTGAAACTTGCCTTGTGTCCTCCTGTGGTACACAGCGAGACGTCATGCTCATCAGTGATGTGTTTCCTGTCATGGTGGACGACGCTCTCCTCTCCTCTCACCCGATCATTGTGAATGTGTCGACACCAGCAGAGATTACCTCTGTGTTTGATGGTATCTCATACAGCAAGGTACTGCTTTTACTATGTGGGGTTTTCCACAATCTAAGGTTCAGAAAAAAACTCAGATGGGAACAATGACATATCGGTTACATTACCAACAAGATACTAACAATTTATCATGCAATAAAACACTATTTGTAATGAAAATTATCCAACTTTACCCAGGGAGCATCCCTTCTCAGGATGCTGGAGGACTGGATGGGTAAAGACATGTTCAGAGACGGCTGTCGAGTAAGTCAGAAACCACTGCAGCTTCATGACAGATATTTAACAATTTCTGTTCCAGCAACTCACTGATGAAAGCCTTTTTTTCTTTCTTTCACCAGATGTACTTGAAAGACTACTACTTCAAAAACGCCAAAACGGCCAACTACTGGGCATCTCTCGCGAATGTATGTTTACTCAGTATTTTGGGAAACAATGCTAATTTGCTTTCTTGCTTTCTACGAAAGTAAGATGAGAAGATAGATATCGTGTCATGTCTGTGTGTTAAGTACAGAGCTGGAGTCAGGATGTGGTTAGCCTAGTTTAGCATGGAGAAGCAGTTAGCTGTCCAAAATTCCAAAATACAAACACTTCTAAGAAACGAAGGGAAGTTTATGGACGCAGGTTTTGGTTCCTACGGTGATCTCTAAGTTGTAATTAGCATAATATTCAGAGCTACAGTGACATCGACCTGACCACAGAATTTGAGTTTGTTTGTCTTACTGCTTTGTTGTTTCCTCAACCAGTTTGTCAATTCCAAGTCCCATAGCTGGCAGTCCGGTCGGTTGCGTTCACGGCCTTTTGGTGAGGCTTGGTCCATTATTCGTTTGAAATACTTTACAGACTTTTGGCTGATGAAGTAGTGAAAGTTAATTTGAATGAGATATGGTTTTTGGTTGGTTCTTAAACAAATCAAAAAAATCAATAAGATAACTAGTCTGGGGAAATTTCATCCCAGTTAAAGAAAGGCCTTAGAAATAGGCGAGTCAAATCTCCTGTGTAGGGAGTGGACAAGAAGAATGGACAAGATGGACAGATTTCTGTGTTTTTAAGAACCTTTCATTTAAAGGTTAAAGTGGGAAACGTCTCTTTGCACATGTTTAATGGTTTGTGTTTTCACAATATCATCACTGTTCTCAAATATCATAAACAGTTATACAATCCTATAATTCCAAGCATTAAAAGAGCAAAGGCATACAGGCAAACATATCATTGTTAACTGATCTTAAAATCAATCTGTAAATTCCTGTTACAGTTGAACAACACAATTCATAGTAATCATATCAGGTGAATGAACAGACTAACTAAACAAGTTCCAAGACAATACATATTCTGATTTCTAAACAGTTCTTAATGGGAAAAAATAAGAAGGTTGGTGAAATACAACATCAGGTTAAATTAGGGCTGGGCAAAATGGCCAAAAACATTTTCATTATAAAAACATTTCATTATCTTGATATATATAAATCATTATATCTTTCAATTTTAAAGGCTGATTTTCGCTCCTAGGTGAAAGGTTGAAGAAATCAGATGGTTAATTGCAGGGTTAAGCTTTTCTTTATGGTCAGAAACACAGTGGATCACTTCTGAGGTCAAATCTGAGGTATTCAAAACGATTGATGAAATCTTTTTTCAACAAAGATGATTAGTAAAGCTCAGTCCCTTTTCCTAAACAAAATAAATATTTTAGTGGAAACATTAAGTGCAAATTTGTTAGTGATTCAAATGAATTAAATAAAATATTTATAGACAATATATTGAACATTTGTTATGTTCTTATTGAGGAAAATTAAATTGCGATTATTATTGTTTTATTGCCCAGGCCTGGGTTAGATACTAAACTGTTCTGTCTGTAGTGAATACAGACAGAACATTTCCTAGTTAAGCCTTAATTGGGAGGCTTTACTATCCAGCAGTTATATGTAATGTCTAATCTGCTAAACTAAATCTAAGAGAACACTTACTTAGCACTAAGGAAAGGGCAGAAGATTAAACTGAACAGGTAAAGCACACAGGTTAATAGTGCGTGTAACACAAAAAGATAAGTTATGTCCTGATACACCTCTTTTCTTCTGGAAATCTGGAATTAAATTCTTATGGTGTGTATGGCATTTTTCATCCAATCCTTCGAGTACAATTATAAAAAAGGTATCAGACAAAACAGGGTGATATTTTGCACAATATTATTTAAACATTTGCAGTTTGGTTATCATAGATTTTAAGACTGCAGAATGGGGTGGTCTTTCTCCATACTCAGGCACAATGCTGTAGAGTTTATGACCGCGTCTGCTGTCTAATCAGTTTAACAACCTGATGTGAAGAGAGAACAAAAGATCTCTTTCTATGATCTGTGCCTGTGTTCATGTATAGATCTATTTTGAAGGCCTTAGTTTATGGCCATCTTTGGCCATTTCAAGGTCCTGATATTCCTAGTTCAGGGAGTGGTTAGGTTCCTGGACAGGGTTAAATTGTCACCTTAATAGTCTTGAGGTAAAGTCAGTTATTTTAACACCACAGGAAATTGATTATCTGGTTGATAACTGTGACAATGAAGAAACTGGCTGTGAGTTGGTACTTGTATTTTTGAACTTTGGACAGAGCCAGACAAGCTCCGCACTTTAAACACAGACATGAGATTAGATAAGATTAGTTTAGATTCAACTTTATTGTCATTGCACAAGTACAAAATGCAGTTTAGCATCTAATTAGAAGTGCAAGTAATGTGCATATTTTAAAGGTAATATAATAATGCAGTGAGGGGTAGATATGACTTTTCTAAAATATGTACAGTATGAACAGTGTGAAATGAATATACTATACAGTAGGAGCATGTACAGCAGTTACAGTAGGCAGTGCTGTAAAACAGTAATGGGGGTAGGAGGTCAGCAAGGTGACAGCTGAATGAAAGAAGGTACGCCTGAGCCTGTGACAGGTTAAAGATTTCAGTCAGGACCTCAGTCTGCTGCCCAGCGCAAGGCCCTGACCATGCATCTGGGGATGTCATCAGGGCTTGCAGCCTTACGTGCATTGATGACCTGATCTGAACATCTCACTTTAAGAAAGAAAACAAATAAGTGTATTTACCAAGATGGTGAAATATTGATTTAAAGGCATAATGAGTAGAATTTTCCTAAAAATCAATGTACTGTAGACTCATACAAAAATCATCCCTCTTAATCATCACTTACGACCCACTAGCAGTGTGTAAATACATCTGTATCTGCAGAGGTGCTGCCCTCCGCCTGTATTTCCTTATCGTCTTATTAATTTGGTAACACACATGCAGGGCAGACACAGGCGACAGGATTAAGCCTGGCTTTGGCTGCATTAACAGAAAATCTGACAATTTGGCTCGTTCCCGTAGGGTTGTGCTGAGGTGTGTGGTGTTTATTTTTGTTTGAGAGCGTGACATGAAACAATAAATTATTTCTCTGATTCACAGCATTATTTTTGCCATGGCTGAAAGATGAAGCCAACGCTGAAGTTCCAGAAATACTTACTCGAATGAAAACTTGGGGCTGGCTCAACATTAGAGCAGAAATAACAGCCTGCTACAAAAAATGTCTCTATAGTTAATTTCCTTGTTTATGAGGATGATTTTTTATAGAACTCATCCATTTAAATTATATTAAGCCTTGAAGTTCTGAATGATTGAGGGCTAGCTGCTTTGACTTCATTCACCCCGCCACAGATCCACTTACTCTCGCTAACGCTGTTCCCTCTCTTCGGTCACCCTCTAGCTCTCTCAACCACTGCTGCTCTCTCTCTCTCTCTCCTTGAGCGGGGGAAGGAGATTGGGGGGGCAAAGTTGAATCGTGTGTTTACAAACAGCAACCAACAAATGCTAATCACACCTTTAAGCTTTGTCTGTGAAGTTCTTTGAACAGTAGAAGATTTCTCCTCTCTGCTGCAGGTGAGCGGCTTGCCGGTTGCAGAGGTAATGGATACATGGACCAAACAGATGGGTTATCCGGTGCTGGACTTGACTGTCACAGAGGCATATACCAAACTGAGCCAAAAGCGTTTCCTCCTGGATCCTAAAGCTGATGCCAACCTCCCTCCTTCACTTCTTGGGTCAGTGATACAAAAGCGTGCTTTAACGTTTTAAATCCTCAGAGCTTTCTAAACTAGATAAGGATGGTATCGTCCAAGATTGCAAATTTGCATCTGAAATATTGACATACTGATACTCTTTGTAAAACTCTTTGTAGAGAGAGAGAGACCATGCAATAGCCCAACACAAATTCCACATAGAGATGTAAAACAATAGTAATGCAACAGATATCAATGAAAATGAAAAATAGTACTAATGGTACTACTAATTTTCTGCGGAGATGCGGAGAGCTGGAAGTTGCGAGAGCAAGCGAGAGGAAGCTGAAAGTTAAGAGAGTTAACACCCAAGACCATGGGTCCTGATTTTGTTTGTCACTCTTGGGGTGTGTCAAACTGTGGTCTTTGTTCCTCAAGGTTTCTGTGTTTTAAACTTTAATCTAAAGTAATGTCTTAAAGTCTATTTGTGTGTGTTTTAATCATGTATCTTTCTACAATATCAACACATTTCTTTAAATGCCATTAACAGTTATACAGTTCTTAATTTCTAAGCATTAGATACAGTAAAGGAAAGGAAGAGCTAAAGGTTACGATTAGAATTGTTACAGTTAAAGGTTCAGTGTGTTTTAGTGACATCTAGTGGTGAGGGTTACCCCCCCCCCCCCCCCCCCCCCCCCCCCTATCCAAGTGAGTAGTGTAGTTACAGTGCCTGTGACAGGACAAAAGATGTCGTCTATGAGATAGTAGAGTTGCCAGTCAAGAAATTGGGATGGATGGATGGTTGGATGGATGGATAGATAGATAGATAGATATTTAGAAATTATATGTACTTAATTATTCAGTAAAACTATATGTTATGTGCTACATGATGTTGATGTCAATTAATTTTACACACTGAACCTTTAAATGACACATTTTATACTAATCATAGCAGATAACTGAACAGTCTAATTAAATAAGTTCCAAGACAATATTGATGCTTAAATATTCTTAATAAGAAAATATAAGAAAGTAGTTGAAACATGACATCAGGGGGGTTCCGGTGACATCACCATGCAGAATGGCAGCCTTAAACAAAGGTTCCTCTGGGAGAATCCTTAAACTGTCAAACATATCATTTCTCAACAATACGTGGCAATGGGAAAGAAGAATGGGAAAAAGGGACGGAAAGAAAAACAGTGCAATTGAAGAACCTGTAGATGAAGGGAATGCAGATAACAGCTCACTTACACAGGCACAAGATGGCGAAGAAGGGAGATCTCGACGTGAGAATTTAAGGATTTACAATGTTCCTGAGGGAGCTGAGGGGTCGTCTATGGTGGTGTTTGTGGAAAAGTTACTACGGGACATGTTGGATATCCCCTCGACAACGGAGCTGTACATTGAGAGAGCACACCAGGAGGTTGCACCTAGACCTCCCGAGAACTGGGTAAACAAGCCATGAGGGTTAAAGCGGAGCAAGATCCGCTTCCAGACTCCTGGTTCTAAACTAGGAGTATTACTAGGAGAGGACGGGACACGGCAGTACCAGGTGGAGGAGGTGACTACAGATATGAAGGATAGAGGGCTGCCTCTTAACGTGACAGTACAGAGAGCTCAGCTACTGTAGACTTTCCTTGTAGCTCAACCCAGGGTCGTCTACTAGAGACCCCAGCTTTGGAATCACACTTTTATTTAACTGTTTTTGCTTTGTTTTTCCTGCGAGTAGATCTAATAAGTTCTATTTGGTTCATTTTGAAAATATACTGTCATTCAAATACATATGGTTGGTGACAAAGTAAAGTTTATTTCTTTTAATATCAATGGGCTGTTGAATCCAATCAAATGCAGTAAAATTCTGTCTAAAATGAGAAGAAGAAGAAGAAGAAGAAGCCCATGTAGGGCAGGAAACCCATTTAAAACGTAGTGAGCATGCCAAACTGAAGAGAATGGGATTTACTAACATTTTCTTCCTTGTATAAATCAGGACACAGGAGAGGAGTTGCTATTCTCATCTCAAGAAAGCTAAATTCTGAAAAGGTATTCAAAGTGGGAGGGCAGATCTATTTTAGTTAGGGGGAATATAGAGGGTAATTCCGGTACTCTATTAATTGTATATGCACCACCAAGAAGTGATATAAGCTTCTTCCAGAAACTCAGAAGCATCATGGTAACTGAAACAGAAGGACTTCTGATCTGTGGAGGAGAATTAAACATACACCTGCAACCAAAGCTAGAGAAAAACACATGATAGAAAGTCTTCACATAAGAAAGTCAATGCACTTTTTGAGGAAGTTGGTCTCATTGACATATGGCTGGACCTATTCCATAACAAAATGGACTATAATCATTACTCTGAACCCCACTCTGTACATACAAGAATAGACTACTTCATAACATTTGGAAAAGACAAAGACAAAATCAGCACCTGTGAAACTGGACGATAGATTTAAGAGACTGTGCAATTATATATTTTATCTGTTGATTTTAACTTACGACCAAAGAATTAAATTCTAAATTCAAGTCTACTCAAGGATCTCTGTTTTATGAAACAAATTAAAAAAGAAATAAATCTTTATATCATAAGTTCAATGATAATGGAGACCATGGCGACCTGTCAGTCAGGCCGACTCGTACCCACGGCACTGTGTAAATTCAATCAGCGCTGTTGAAAAAGCTTATTAGTACTTGGCTGTTCACTTTCTCTGGTGAGTACATTTAGTTTTAAGACTATTGTTAACTAGACAAAATTATCATCCCTGTTAAAATGACCGTTAACGTGAATTACAGATGCACCTAGCTAATCAAGCTAGCTAGCTCCGCCAACTTGTTACTTCCGGGCACTTCCTGGTTGCAAAAAACTCAACATGGCGGCGCCCTTTCAGCCAAACTCGAGGTTTCAAAACGGCAGTCCACAAACCAACGTGTGATGTCACGATGACTACATCCATTTATTTATTGTTTATTTGAATAGGGACAGATACAAAAAATATAGGTTATTACATAAAAAATAATCCGATGCCTGTATCACAGTGTTTATAGCCGTGGCTAATTCGCAACACCTGTCCCTAGAAGGGCTTTTAACAGTTAAGATAATGAAAGAGTAAAAATTTACAGTGAATACAATAAAATGTCCAGAAACCAGTTAGCACCAATAAAAGTTAGTGTAGTAAATAAACACATTCACTCGAGCTCACACACACACACACACACACACACAGATATACATTTCATATGGCATGATTACACTGCTGCTGCTGTATGAGCTAGGCTTTTTTTTGTTTTTTGAAGGTGGACAGTTTAATTAAAGTCTTTATATTTGTAGGAAGACAGTTCCACAGATTGGCTCCTTTCACAGAAAAAACATTTTGGGCAAAAGATGTTTTACGAAATGGAACTTTACAGACTCCACATGCAGCAGCTCTTGTTGATCACAAATTTACAAAGTGGCTCAGGTGCAAGTCCTGCCAAACATTTAAAAAACACCTTTATATGTCTAAGATTAACAAAATTAACAAAGTTTAAGATTTTATGTTTACTTAAATGTAACAGTGATGGAATCGAATGGGCTTTTTATCTAACATCTTTAGGGCACGGTCATACCAAACAGTGGTGCAGTACGACAGGAGCGACAGGATCATAGTGTTCAGAAAGACATAACCACATTCAAGCTCCTGATCATTCTGAAACAGTTCATACTGGCCTTAATTTTTCTTGAGATGTTTTTGATATGACTTTTAAAGTTTAGCTGAGAATCTAAAATCCCTCCTAAGTATTTTTCTTGTTCTACCTGATCGATGAGTTAGCCATTCATTTTGATGTTAAGGTCATTTTTTGTCCGAGTTCTTTTGATAGAAAAACACATAGATTTAGTTTTCTTCAGATTAAATGTTAAACAGGATTTGTTTAGCCAACTAAACACTTTCTCAAGACTTTTGGTCAGTGTACTGCTCGTTCACATACAGGCTGAAGAGAATAGGCCCCAGTATGGTTCCCTGAGGGATTCCGGTCTTAATTTTACATGATCAACTACACATTGTTCTCGGCCCTGTAAGTATGACTCAAACCATGATAATGCCTGGTGTGACATGTTAAAGGATGACAGTTTTGATATAAGATGGCTATGGTTTACTGTATCGAATACAGTCTATGATGTCAACATAGGCTACACTGTTTACTAGTTTAACTGGTTAAAACTATAAATTGTAACAACATGGTTTTGGAATGCTCTAATCCTGTAATTCACCATTAGAACTTTCAGGAGGTCACATCGTATCTTTTAAAAGACATACATACATAATTTAATACTATTAAAACTCAAACAAACATGATTGTATTTTTCCAAAGGATATACATATTTTTCTGATCAAATAATCATCACATTAATCGTATATCAACCATGGTGTGTATGGACTGTTTAATTCTATTGTTCTGGGGGTCCCTTTGTGCTGTCATCATTGCAACTTAGCAACTTCGCAAAAGTCTTACTTCTTATCTGTATCTTGTGCAGTTTAGCAGTTCAATACTTTTAATCTGTCTTGTTTTTCCAAAAACTACTTGCCACAATGACTCTGCAAATAATAGTACATAACACATACACAAAGAAAACGTAGAACGAATACCAGAGGGAATAATGAATTCAACTTTTCTGCAGTCTCTTTTCATTCAACTTACACTGTAAATTTCCAGCTAAACTGAGGCTTTTAGAAGATCCTTTTCTCTCTCTCTCTCTCTCGCCTGTCATTCACCGGTCTTTTACGTGCATTACTGCTGCCGACAGCTGCATGCACGTCGCGGAACAACTTGGCACAACACCGTGAAACTGCTTCAGCAAGCATTCCTCCACTGCCACTGCACACACACACACACACGCTACGCCTGCACATGCGCACTGACGATCCAGGGTTAGGGTTACAATTTTGGATTTATTCACGCACTTCAAAAACTGTGAAAGATTGTGAGATTCACAGTCGAATTAGGCTCCGCCCATCGAAGCATCGAATCTTCGACTATTCAGGGTCAGCCCTAGTAAACAAGAAGCACCCTTTTCTTTGATCTGTGCCTGTGTGTGTGTTGAAGATCCAGTTTGGAAGCCTTACAGATTTTGCAGACTCAACAACTTTCAGCATCGGCTGTGGCTGTGCTGTTCATAGTACACAACTTGCCTTCTTGTGACTGGAGTCTTGAAGTCTTTGTGGGTCACACTCTACTCTGTCACCCGACGCTGGTATCCAAACCACATATTGGGGTGGGGCGGCTGTGGCTCAGGAGGTAGAGCGGGTTGGCCGTTAATCGGAAGGTCGGCGGTTCAATCCCTGGCTCCCCCTGGTTGTGTGTCGAAGTGTCCTTGGACAAGATACTGAACCCCGAATTGCCCCTGGCAGCTATTCCGCCAGTGTATGAATGTGTGTGAATGTTAGTTTCCGTTTGTGTGACTGGTGAATGCAGGTGTAGTGTAAAAGCGCTTTGAGTGGTCGATACGATTAAAAAGGCGCTATACAAATACGGAGCATTTACATTTACATATTGTCAAGAAAATGTGAAACGGGAAATGACGCGAACCTAGCCATGAAACACCTGTTGTTTGTTATTATAAATTATAGCAATTATAAAGGCAAAGAATATGGGTGAAAGAATGGACTAGCACATGAAGGTAGCAGGGATCGTCTGAGCTACAGAGAGGAGGGGAGTAAAAAGTGTTTTGCAGAGAAAAAGTAGCTGCCTGTTCTGCCAGGTGCCTGCTTTCATTGGCTGTATGTGGATGTCGAGTCTGCAGAGTCTTTACATTTTAGACAGAGAAGATGGATGGTTTGAAAGAGGTGTCAAGGAAGCCATCTACACCAGGGTCGAGAAGCCGTCATTGAACAGAGGAGGGGGTCTACGCCACCACTTATCCCCCACTTACAATGCTGTCCTTTCATCACTTCCCAGGAAACTCAACAAACGTAACCTATTGGCCTCAGGTGAAGATACCAACGATGGTCGTTCAGTCTTGGCCACAGGTAGTCTTAACGACTGTAACGACTGTCGTCACAGCAACAAGGAACACTAACGAACCTGCGGTATCGATGACCCGGGCCAACGACCCCACTGAGGTTAAATAGCTGAGTTTCCCTGCCAGTCAGTCAGAACTGAAGAAGTCCTTTGGACGAGGGACGAAACGTCTTCCAGTTTCTTCAACCAAGTCCAGTTGCCCTTGATTTTAACCTTCGTGGGAGTCTTCGAGTCTTTAGCATGCTAGATATCTGGCTGGCATCAGCGATGTGTCAGAAATGTGTCAGGGAGCCGTTTTGATGTGTCTTTGAGTAGTTCACACGACTGCTGATTGATCGCTGATTTACCTGATCACAGTCCGACGCTCACCGAGCTCTCCAACCGGCAAATCAGGCTAAAAATCGTGTTGTGTGAGCTCTGCTTTAGTTTATGGCATCTGTCCAGCTACATGTCCTGACGTCCTACTTCAGGGAGAGGTTACATATCTGGACATAGAGTCAGTTATCTTAGGGCGTACTTGCACTAGGCCCAGTTGCCTTGTACCATGCCCGAGCACGATTGTCCCCCCTCCCCACTTCCCCGCTGGCCTCTGCTCACACTGCCCCTAACGATCCCAGCAGGAGCACGTTTATGTCATCACTCAGTCTGTGTTTCCTATACATTGCCACAGTATCAATGCCGACCGCCACATATTGATATGTGAGTTTTTTACTAGGCTTTTTTTACTATCAAAATCCTAGTTGATTGCAGAGCAGCAACTTGTCTGTCTGTCTGTCTCTCTCTCATGAACACCATGGCACAAATCTGTCCAACACAACTGTCAATGTCGGAGACCGACAGTTATTAGCATGTAAGGATCCTAGCTAATAAGGAAAGCTATGTTATTATAGATCACAGCTGGGTTGTCAAGGTAAGCACGCTGTACATAGCTGGAAGTCAATATCATCTGTCATTCTGTGCACTCTCACTGCACTCTTGGGAAAAAAAAGCACTCTCTCTCTCACAGCACAGTGGAGTTTGTGTATGGTTAGTGATCACACTAGATATGCACCGTGCCAGAGTTCAGCTTAAACATGCCCGGGCCCACCTCTTCAAGTGGCACACTGCATGGAGCGATCACACTGGTCAAACGAACCATACTTTGGGGGAGATGGTGATTTACCTGGTCGTTTACTTTGCAACCAGCATTCAGGGTGGAAACAAAGTTTTTGATGTGGCAGGCTTCGTTCAAACCCTCTCCTCTTTTGGGGTGTTTGGGGCCTGGAGTCAGGCCGCCTGCTTGACGAAACAAAGGAGAGATGGCTAAAAAAAACATAGTTCATTATGTAAGGTCTTTATACACCACTGAAAACATAGTTCTGGATATTATATTGCACTTCTGTCAATAGATCCTCAGAAATATTACACACTGGACCTTTAAGACAACGTCACAGTGGAGTTTTAGGTGGGGATCTCTCTAGTAGAAGCGCAAAGAAGCATGTAAGACTGTCTCCTGGTCTCAACTGTGGGTTGTCATACATTTGATTCACTAATAAACCCGGTCAGATTTCTAGATATGAGCCCCTCCTTCCAAAATGGGATAAATGCTGTCTTTCCTAATCAGACCAGGTCTTCCCCACAAAGTCAGCCAGTAATCTACAATAATTTCGGTCAATTTGTTCTTGTTTCCACAAGCTTAATGTTAAAGGCATCTGGGAAAGTATTACAGTTAATATGAAAAATATAAATATTGCAAATTTATGCCATTGATACTACATTTATTTATTAATTTACCAGGGACAATGCATATTAATCAACATTGCGGTTTATACTTCAATGTAGATATAGATGTAGAAGCTAATTTTCATTTGTAGTACCTGGGCTGGTTGTAAAAATTTAGTGACTAATATGATTTTTAAGCAAATCATATATCACATATCAAGTATTGCAAGAAAAATACATAACATAAATGACAAAAGTTAAGAAGTCTGTAAAAGCATTAAGATTATGTAAACTGCTGAAGAGGTGGCTGTAAAGTGGCTGTATAAATTGTGATGTTGTCACAAAGGTATGGAAACATTTTTAAAGTTAAATTCTGATCTTCATTAGTTCACATTAGGACAAATTGGTGTGCATGTTTCAACACTAGTAACAGGAAGCTTCATGTCAGCACTATTAAGCTAGCAGTGTTAACAGTTAACAGTCCCAGTGTATGTTGTCATAGTAAGCAGCAGGGATGTACAATAAGAGTTGGTGGTAAGCAGGCACTAATAAGGAACATTGGCGTCTTCTCTTCTAATAAACTTTGACCGAGATGGTCCTCCATTGGCCAATTGTGAGTTTAGAGGTTTAACTGGAGGCTCACGCTGCAAAGCATTTAGCACCTAATAAGTAAGATATTGTTCTCGGAGTTGGTGAAAACCAAAGCGGAGATAAAAGGTGATTATAAGTTCAGCTTTAGGAATCAAATGAAAATGTATTTTTAAAGACTAAGCCCTAAACTAATTGAACTGTATTGTATATCTGTAGGTTTTTAATGCCAATACATTAATAACAATGTGTTTCTGTTACAGGTACAAGTGGACAATTCCAGTCAAATGGCAATCTGTGAAAAGCAACAAGAATATGTTGGCAATGTTTGACAAGAGCAGCGATGGTAGTATTTTTGTTGATAAAGATATTCACAGGGTTTTTATTTTATAGCAGAAATTGAGTGATCCAGCCAAAATGTTACACAAATAATACTTACCATAACTGTGTTGATTTCCAGAGCATGTCATCAGTAACTACTCACTCTCAGTGGATGGGCTGCTGAAGGTTAACAATGATCACATTGGATTCTACAGAGTCAACTATGACAACCACATGTGGGACGCTATTAGTCAACAACTTCAAAACAACCACTCTGTAAAGTTGTCCACAGTGATATACACACACACACACTGTACACACTGCTTAGCAATTTTAGTTGTGATTGTGACACCAAAATCTAAGGCTGTACTAAATGTCATTCTTTTTACATTCAAAGCTTCTATTGAATGAATGAAGCTTACATGCATGATACAACCTGATATGGTTTTTATTTTATTTTTATTCAATCCATATTGAACGTACATGCTAACATTTAGAGCAGACGAGTAAGAACACGAGAAACCTGAGCTGAAAATAAATGGATGCATTTATGTTCTATCATTTCTCAGGGCGGTTTACCAATCATATCTACATACATCTAGATACATAATGCATCATAATCTTGTTACTGTTCTGTAATCTGCTACTGTTATAACCATCTTCTGTTTGACTCTTAAAAAACAGGAGTTTGATGCAGCTGATCGAACAAGCTACATTGAGGATGTTTTTGCTCTTGCAAGGTAAGACTTCTTTAAAAAACGCATCACGCTTCCAATCAAATACAGAGACTCTAAATACTGTTTAATTTCACTGTTCAGGGCAGACATTACAGATTATGGGAATGCCTTCAACCTTACTAAGTACCTGACAAATGAGACTGACTACATAGTCTGGGACCGTGTGGCCTCCTCTATTGCTTATGTTCGGGACATGCTGTCAGGCAGTGCTGCACTCTACCCAAAGTTTCAGGTAAGGGGCTGCTAATCCTTCAATGTGTTGAGCTTTCAAATTTCAAACTCATTCACCTTGAAGTTTATCTGTAGTCTGTGTGTCTAAATGTTCAACTAACCAGGTCAGCAAAATCAACACAAATGTGCAATTTTTGTAACATTGATGCTTGGTCCGTTTTCAAGCAGGAAAAATGGCGTTCTGGTCCCAAACTTTTACAAACAGCTAAATAGTACACTAGTGTTAAATTGTCTGCAATGTTTTTATCTATTCTTAGTCCTGTGTCAAATGTCCTAGTTAGTCTTTATCATATTTACTCAACCTCATCCCTTTTTTTAGTCAAGTTTTAGTTGACTAGAGATCTTTAAACCTCCTCGGAAGGAGGTTTACTTCAACAAACGCTGAATTTCTCTCTGACTCCTCCCCTCCTGCGGAGCCTGAAACGGCCGTCTGACATTTCCTCATTCATACTGTCGATATCAAAGCACATCTCCGAATGCATTTACGTCTTTAGAAACATCAGAATCACCCATGATCTGTCATTGATGAATGGACAGAGAGTTATCTTTGGACATCGTAGATTTATCCTCAGCGCAAATAAAATCCATAGGCAACACTGTCGTTCTTTATAGCACAGTGAATATGTGGACATTAAGGCATGTGTCAGGTTGGCAACAATTGCACTGAAACAGTTACCGTGGGCTACATTACTGTAGTAGTACTGTAGTAGCCTAGCGTAAACACAATTTACGCTAGGGGCGGCTGTGGCTCAGATTAATAAATAAAGGCAGAGCCTCCATTTTAATCGGGTGGAGATAGAAATATGAATGCGTGCCAACGCGGACCATGATGGGCTCAAAAACGCAGGAGTGGAGAATCGATACATTAACATTATTACATTTTATACAGCGTTGCTAATTCATCATTTACCAGACTGGAATTTCCTTAATGACTGATAAAGTGCTGGAATTCTCCTACAGCCTGTTATTCATTTTAAATAGGCTACAGGCCTGATTATTCAGCTGGAACCTGATGGGACTAAATGCCGGTGGCAATAACTGAAGATGAAATTATTAATGGAACAGATTAGACACAGTTTAGGTTACTCATGGACCTGTGATTGTAAAGTCACAGTCCAACTCAGTAGGCCTATGCCTATTAATGACTTCTTTGTAATGTAAAATGTGTCTAGGTTCAAAATGACTGTGAAGTTTAGACGTCTATGTTACATTAATAAAATCTTGCTCATTTCGTATTTTATGAAATGCTGTCAAAACGCATTCAGACTATCAGCACATAATGAAAAACTCACTTTTAAACTACATTCATTTGTTTCAGTTGCACCACAGTCATCCCCACGCAGAAATATTCACATCATATCCAGCTGATAACTACGATAGGAATGTTCAATCTGTGCGAATATGAAAGGTTACTGTTCATTGATCAGTTTTAAACAGATTAGTTTAAACAGTAACCTACACTGCAGCACTGTAGCACACAGTAAGTGTTTTTGTGCAACTGTTGCCAACCTGAAAGCTGCCTTAATGTCCACAGAGTCACTGTGTTTTAAAGTTATAGATTTTATTCTGTGCTGAGAATAAATTTACGATTTCCAAAGAAAACTCTCTGTCCATACATCGATGACAGATTGATCATAAAAGCGTCATGTTCAAGATCATGTTTGGGTAAAAAAAAAAAAATACTAACAGCCTATTTAACTGTGATTTCGGTGTTTGTAATGACATAACTGTCTTCCAATATGTACGTTGATATGGACAGTCTGAATGAGGACATGTCAGACAGCTGCTTCAAGCTCTGCAGGAGGGGAGGAGTCAGAGAGAAACTCAGCGTTAGTTGAAGTAAACCTCCTCCCGAGCAGGTTAGGTTCACAGCGTAAATTGCCGGGGTTACAGACCTAGAGTTTATCTGATCTTGCTCTCTGAAACCGAAAACCCAGAGTTTCCCTCATCGTGGGCACAACTTTCTGAAACAGGCCAGGTGTTTGTCTGGGTTTTGGATTTGTGTTTTTGTTGTTTTTTTAGTTATGGCCTGTTTGGTCTGTGTTTCTGAGGTTCCCCTTCGAGGGAACTCGAACTGCATCGGTGACGACACTATGGGAACGCCTCTGGGCGTGGCAGGGCTGAATCATGAATGAAACTACTCCAATCCTATTGGTGTTGCTAGAATGATGCTGCGAGTAAGCCGCCGGTCTCTGCCTTTCTGCCTGGATTTGCACGACGAGTTGTGCAAGGGTTTCGGCTATGGGGCGATGCCCCTTGTTGAGGATGCTTTGGCCAGCTATCTCTCGCCCGGTCTTGCGTCATCCCTTAAAGAGCCGGCGCTGCCCACCAAGTCATGTCGCGTGACATCTGCTGTGGTGGACAAGGCTTACATGGCGGTAAGCCTTGTTAGCCTTGCACACATGCTGCACCTTCAGCGTTTGGGGCTGCGGCTCAACGCGAAGAAGAGCGTGTTGACGCCCGCCCAACGGACTACGTTCCTAGGGGTGGTGTGGTACTCAACGACAATGCGGGCCCACCTGTCTCCTGCACACGTCAAGTACATTTTGTCCCCAATGACCAGAGTGAAGCTAGGCCGCACTATAACTGTGAAACACTTTCAGAGGGTGTTGGGTCTCATGACGGCAGCGTCCAGCTTAATCCTGTATGGCCTGCTGCACATGAGAGCCCTGCAGTGGTTAAAATCCAAGGGATTCTCCCCGAGGGGAAATCCGTTCTGTCTGATACGGGTTACAAGCAGGTGCCTTCGTTCCCTGTCAGTATGGAGGAAACCTTGGTTCCTGTCCCAGGGTCCCGTGTTGGGAGCGTCATGTCACCGGACAATTATTTCGACAGACTCCTCCCTCACGGGGTGGGGTGCGGTCATGCGATCATCATTTCTCTTGGCACATAAATTGCCTGGAAATTTTGGCGGTTTTCAGAGCTCTGAGGAGTTTTATGCCCGCTCTCCGCGGTCGCAATGTCCTTGTCAGGACCGACAGTACAGCAGTGGTGGCCTATTTGAATCACCAGGGGGGTCTGCGCTCGCGCCCGTTATGCAAACTGGCGCATCAGATCCTCCTGTGGTCCCAGCAGAGACTGCTGTCTCTCAGAGCAATGTATATCCCTGGGACCCAGAAACAGGGAGCAGACCTGCTGTCGAGACAGGGGCTGAGGCCCGGGGAATGAAGACTCCACCCCGAGGTAGTGGAGTTATTGTGTGAAAGGTTCGGCCCTATAGACGTGGTTTGCGTCTCAAGAGACTATGCACTGTCCACTGTGGTTCTCCCTCTCGTTAGTAGCCCCGTTTTGGCCGGCCCGAGTGTGATTCTCGGACATCGGCCGTGGCCTCCTCTGAGGAGGGACCCTGTCTCAGGCGGAGGGCCAGGTCTTTCACCCTTGCCCCGCCCTGTGGAGGCTGTGGGTCCACGAGAAGGATGTACAGCCTGAAGTGGAATGTGTTTGCCACCTGGTGTAGAGAACGGGCGGTGGACCCAGTTACCTGCCCAGTGACTATGGTACTGGAGTTCCTCCAGGACCCTTTCTCTGCTGGCCTTTCCCCGTCCACACTCAAGGTGTATGTGGCTGCCATTGCAGCGCTCCACGCCCCTCTGAGGGATGGGCCTCTGGGGAGGCTTCCACTGGTCGTGCGCTTCCTCCGTGGAGCCTGGAGGATGAGACCCGTGACTCGTTCCAGGGTTCCCACCTGGGACCTGGCAGTGGTTCTCGAAGTGCTGGCTGAGGCCCCCTTCAAACCCCTGGAGTTGGCTGAGGCCAAGCACCTGACCCTTAAGATGGCCTTTCTCCTCGATATTACCTCTATGAGGAGGGTGGGGAACCTCCAGGCACTTTCGGTTTCTCCTCGATGCCTGGTGTTTGCCCCGGGGAGGGTCAGAGCTATCCTGCACCCCTGTCCGGGCTATGTCCCTAAGGTTCCGTCCAGTTTGGCACGGTCCACGGCGCTGCAGGCGTTTCATCCCCCACCTCATGTGACAACAGAGGACGGGACAATTTACGGAGGAGTATTTACACTCTGAGGTCTCCCCGATGGGGGAAAGCAGACCAGTTGCTGGTGTGTTTCGGGTCCCCCAAGACTGGGCTCCCCGCTTCCAAACACACGATCAGCAACTGGATCATTCAGACTATTTCCCTGGCCTATCAGGTGCGCGGGTTACCTTCACCTATGGCCGTAAGAGCGCACTCTACTCGAGGCATGGCGGCCTCTAGGGCCCTCCTCGCAGGGGCTTCGCTCCAGGATTTGTTTGAGGCAGCTGGCTGAGCCACTCCTCACACTTTCATCCAGTTTTACAGTCTGGACCTTCCTTCTGCACCCGTGCGCTCTCCTCTTAGTTGTGCCTACGGGTTATTGCACGCTGGGGGGCAGGCAGGGGTTTCGGCGTGGCCTAGTGGGTATCTCGTTCCCATAGTGTCGTCACCGACGCAGTTCGAGTTCCCTCGAAGGGTAACGTCTTGGGTTACGTATGTAACCCTTGTTCCCCGAGAAGGGGAACGAGACACTGCGTCGGTCCGCCACACCTCACCCCGCCTGGAGTGCCTTGCTTCATAGCTAGGCAAGAGCAAGAGCTAATGTGTCCGGTGTGCCGACGTGCTTATATAACCCCTCCAGTTACGCCATCACACGCTACCGTTCTAGCAACACCAAAAGGATTGGAGTAGTTTCATTCATGATTCAGCCCTGCCACGCCCAGAGGCGTTCCCATAGTGTCGTCACCGACGCAGTGTCTCGTTCCCCTTCTTGGGGAACAAGGGTTACATACGTAACCCGAGACGTTTTGGTTTATCTATCAGCATGCTTGTCCTGTTTATTCTGAATTTGTCTGTTGTGTGTCTGTGTGGTCCATGTGTCTGCCTGTTACTTGTTTTAGTTTGAAGTTTGCTGCATCTGTTGTTTATGTCTGCTCGTTTGCCTGTGTGTAGATGTTACCATGTGTTTAGTTCAGTTGTTGTCAGATCATTGTCTCCCATGTTGAGTTTGTCAGCCTGTTATATGTTCCTGCCTTGGTCTTCTGTCTGTAACCCTGCCTGTTGGTTTGTTTCTGTGTCTGTGGATTTGTCTCACCTCAACTAGGGCTGAACGATTAATTGTTTTCAAATCAAAATTGCAATTTGAAAATGGGATTAGCTGATCGTGACGATGGCAATTAAAATGTAGGTTAATTATACATTAGGTTAATTTTAAAGCGTTTTGCCTGCCTGATTTTGCTGACTTGTTCATATTTTGTTGATTTGTTCAGTTGTTCTTGTTTTTTGGGCTTCTACCATGATTAAGTAGGCTACATAGTTAAATTGTTTCTTTTTTGTCTGTTAACTGTGTTTATTGTTGATATGCGATCAGGACTCTGCACAAGGGTTTTTATTTTGAAAATCAACCGGATTCTCTATGCTGTTCCCGTGTGTGACTACTTGCCTGGTTAATCTGCTCTAGGCTGCTTGACGCAGCTTCTGTCAAAAATAGACTGGCAGTGAATATTAAACAAATCAAATTGTAATCACAATATCTGGCAGAAACATTGCATTTAGATTTTTTCCCCAAATCGTTCAGCCCTAACCTCAACCTGCTTAGTTTGAATTATAGTGTTTGTCTCCTTGTTTGGACAACCTGTTTTGGATCTCTTTGCTTTGTTTGAAATCCCGAAACACATCCTGCCAGTTCTAGTGACATATTTTAATATAGTCCTACACTTAATTAAATGTTGTGTGTAGTATGAAGGAACTACAAATTTTGTTTCATTATGCAGCCTTGTGCTGTATAATGACAAATAAACAACCTTGTCCCTTGTACCTTGTCTTTGGGCCCAATTCCTGTCTGAGCGCTGCATAACCCAGAAAACTTCTTGTTCTGTGTATTTCCCTGCAGTTAATTAAGAACCATCTTTTTGTTTGTTTTCTCTAGAAACTGTTTCGTGACCATGTTAAAGCAATCTCAACACAACTTGGATGGAATGATGAAGGGACACAGACAGAGAGGTACAGCAGGAACATAAACATTCTCTTAAACTGCCTTAAAACTGGATTTACGTCTCTGACTGTTTCTAAATTAGCTCTGAACAGTACATTACATGAAGAAAATGTTGATGTGAAATATGACATAATAGAGTATAATAGAATAAAAAAGCACAAGGGAGCTGCCTTGCCCCTCTGTTTGCACTATAAATGCTTCCTCTAGGTGATATTATCAGAGAACACAATATTAGCTTCCATAGTAACACTGATGATACACAGTTGTACAGATCTGTTTAGCCAAGTGATGCCTTAAGCTCCCTCACTGCCTGCCTGTCAGCAATACATTAATGGATTAACAATAACATTATGCTATTCCTTTTTGAGCTGCATGTCTTTTATGAATGGTGCAGTATAAATAGCATTTATTATTATTATTACACAGTTTTACAGTTCAGAAAACACCTTAAATCTTTCCCTGGTGTCCTTTACAATGTACAGTCAGTAAACCTGATGACAGTAACAATATTATTGCTGTTTAACAAAGTATGTGTTTTTTCTTTTATGCTAACCCATGCTCTAATTTACCCTGGGTTTTACAATGGGTGGTTGGAGATCATGTGACCTGTTATTGTGTTTGCCAGGTTACTGAGGGAGACTGTGCTTAGCATCGCTTGTCAGATGGGTGATCAGGAGGCTCTGAATGAAGCCTCTCGCATTTTTGACCTGTGGATTGATGGAAGTCTCAGGTATCACCAATCCAGTGGATTACTTGTGGTCAATTTTCCTTATAGCCAGAAAGTATTATAAAGAAACAGACCCACAGGGTAATTATAGTGTATTTTTATTATTTATTAATGTGCATAACCAGCAGAATAGACATCACAATATATTTTGAGAAACCATTGCTCTTTGATTCTGACATCTAAACCTGACATTTACTATTGATGTTTAAAGCTGCAAGAACTAATGTGTTGAAATATGATTTCATGTCTTCTATGAGACGTTTTTCCATCTCTGGTAACTTAACATGAAACTTTGTTGATCTTTGAACCTACAGCAGTGTAGCTGTGAATCTGAGACTGCTGGTCTATCGCTATGGCATGAAGAACTCGGGCACCGAAGCAAAGTGGAACATAATGTTCCAGAGGTACAAAGATACTTCTTTGGCTCAAGAGAAGGACAAGCTGTTGTATGGACTGGCATCTGTGGAGAATGTGGCACTCCTCTCCAAGTAATTAAAACACATTCTTTACACACTCTTTTTTTCTTCATAATAGACAACAAATAAAAGTTGTATTAGATCACTGTGATATTTGGCTTGATCTGTACCTGTGTAGCTTTATCTGTTATCTACTGCAACAGTATCATTTTGAGTAACCACACAACACAAATCAGCATGAAGACATACTACACCCTTCTCTAACCTTTAGATGTAATGCTTCACACACATTTGGTTTTGTGGTTAGGCTTCACTTTAAAGCTTAATCACCCAGAAATCCTGTAAGGTCAGTCAGTAACTTAAAAGAAAAGTACTTGCGGAGCCAGTCAGACATGTAAACAAGAGACACTAGTCTGCAGACTCAGCGCACACTAACCTGGTTAGTACATTTGTATATCCGTCCTTGTTTCAGTCCCCAAACAATTTAAAACAGCAACGGTTTCCAGAGTGTGTAAATCTTAAAACATAGGCTTAGTGTTTCAGTGTGCATAGGGGGCTTTGTGGCAGCAAAAAACCATCTGTGACCTCTCTTTTTTAGTGCCAGTACAACCAAACACACAGAGGATGTTGTCATTTACCTGAATTTATGTTGATTTGGTTCGGATCAGACAAAATCACAGTTTCAGTTTTCTGTTGTTTCACTGTGCTCTCTGTCTCTTCAAAACCAGTCTGGAAGCACTGTGTTGAAACAAAAAAACAGTGTTAAAAATGAAACTGCTGTCACAGTAAGCTGAGTGCAGAGGCAGGTTAGGACCCAAATGCAAGACACAGAGAGCATGATGCAGTTTATTACATTTATTTACACAAAACTGCTGATGAGGCTCACATGTACATATGCAGACAGAGTCCAAACACCGGTGATGATACACATCCCAAGCAGGCAATGGAAACACAGAGCTACACAGAAGCCCTCAACGTATAATGATGATATGACAGTATTTTGTATGGGCTTCGCCCTCTAAGGCTATCACTAGTGGGTTTATCCCTTGCGCACATGCGCAGCACTGAAGAGCTTTGTTCACGCCAAACAGCGGGGTGGCCATCAACCACGGTCTCACCCTGTGTATATATACTGAGTGTTCCCATGTCGCGCCATCAGTGACTGGGTGGTTTATTATGTTGGCTCTTGGCAGGTGTGTCTGTGCTTGGTGGTACCTTATGGGCCCACTGAGGCGTTGGCACTCATGCTGCTTCACCTCAAACCCAATAGCGATAGTCTTAGAGGGCGAAGCCTATATGAAGTAGAACAGTAGTTATGTATTGTAACTCTGTATTCTATGACTATAGGCACAAAAAGTTGTGGGCCTCCCTGGTCCTGTGATTCTCAATGCTGAAGAAAATGCATTATGGGAGCCAATGCCCAGGTCTCACCATTGTGTAATGATGTTATAGAGGCCCACACCGTGGGTGGGTGTAGACAAAGCTTTTTTCAGTGCTGCACGTGCGCGCCTAGGGATAAACCCAATAGCAATAGCCTCAGAGGGCTGCACCTATACTCATAGAATCTGGAGTTACAATACATAACTACTGATGCACATAACAGAGAAAATAGGCATGTGCTTCATTTCTAAGTGAGGCTACAGCCCATTGACAACAAGAAAGTGTTGATTTATTAATTTATTAATAAGGGATTTCATTGAAAAAGAAGTGTGTGTGTGTGTGTGAGAGCTTGCAGCCTTGCAAAATGAAGCGATGTGGTTATTGACAAAAAAATGCTATTTTCATTAATGTGTGACTATAATTTCAGAGAATATTCCAGTTTTTTACTTGTAGATTTGTTATAATTTTACAACAGACATTTCAGGAAATCACTTTACTGGTCAACTTTGTTTTGTCTTCAAAAGAGTTTGATTGAACCTCATTTTAATGATGTTGCAGTTACTTTGGTGAGCACAATTTTCTGGTGAGAGATTCGGCCTCAGGGAGTCCTGCTCTCTCTACTTGGACTCTTGGATTTTACATTTAAAGGCTTTAAAATCATTAAGAAGAGTAAATATGTTGAGAGATGAACCTCTGTTCTATCCACAGGCTCCTGGAGGCTACTAAAAATGAGAGTGTGGTGAGGAGTCAGGACCTGTTCACTGTGGTGCGATATGTGTCCTCTAACCCACTAGGGCAGAGCATGGCCTGGGACTGGACCACACTCAACTGGTACTACCTGGTCAACAGGTGAGTGCTCTGACCAACAAAAGATGGCTGTGCACATTTACGCACATTTAGGCACAGCAGCAAACAAGGTCAGTCAGGATCTAATGTTAATAATGGCAATGCATTCCTCTACACATCCAAAAGATCTCATACACAGTCCAGGTTCATACAGTGAACACATTTACATTTAAATACAGTGAAAATGTTTAGAATAAAGCAGCCGTCCTCCTGATCAATCCTGAGCCTACAGCAGAGCGTCTAAACATGGATTATAGAAGCTGAAACTTGAATTCTGTTCCCTCTGAAGAGTTTCCTCTGTCTGTCCGGTCAAGTTTAGAACTACCGGTTTTAGTTGTCCCACAACGTTTGCTGTGACTTGCATGAATGTATTACTGCGCACATGGAAACGGTTAAATGATGGACAGTCTCTCTAATCATGTAACAATATTATTGCTGTTTAACTATAATCAAGTAAATAGTTATAGAAAACACTCATTCAAAAGTACAACACAATAAAGAAATCAGCTGGAAAGCTCCCAGGACTGAAATGGTGTGGGTCTCTAAATTGAATGATAATAATTTGGTGGGTGGATTCAGATAATGTCAGAGCTGATCCACACATCACTACTGTAAACACATTATCCCTAAAGTGGTCATGTAGACAGCCTTAGTCCCGCCCTTCTGCTTTTGCCCCACGGGACCGTATTTTGGAATAAGTTTGGTCGTCAACAACACATAATTTGATCCCGTTTGAATTGTGCCCTGATGTTTGGGACATTGTTTGTCAATTTAAAAGAATAATTAATATAATAATTAACTAATAATAAGTACTATGTACTAATTCAAAGATAATTTAGGTCAAGATGTCGCAATTTGTCGTAAAACTGTAAAGTAACATTTGGTTGTGTGTAACTACATCTCTCGTCTCGCACAATATATGTCACCAATATGGCACATTTCTTCTCTTTCTTTCAGATTGAGGGGAAAAGAATGAAAATTTATTACAAGCCTTGTGGTCCTTTTTAATGACGTTTTTTCACAGTCTGTTTTATGATGAGCTGCAACCTTGTTTAGGATAAAATGACGAGATGATGATGAGAAAAAAAAGGTCTGATATTGTTCAGTACAGTTTGATAAAGCCATTTCATTCTGTGAAATAGTGTCATACTTTGAGTAAAGTTGTTTACACAAAAACATTACATTTGAAAGGCCAGAACATGTTGTAGTATTAAGACTGTCAAGTCATGAAAACATTCATTATATTTTCTGACACAATTTACTGAACTTCAAAAAGGCACAGTCAAATGTCCCGGATTTTCTTTCTTAACAGATACACCATTAATGACAGGAACCTTGGTCGCCTACTGAGTCGAATCACCACCACCTACAACACAGAGCACCAGCTTTGGAAGGTTAGCACATGTACAGCTTACTCCTGCTTTGGTTGCAATGGTGTCTTTCTAGCGTGATCATTTGAACACGTTGGACAAGTTTTCACTGCAGGAAAAATGAATCTAAAGATCCATAGAAGCTTTTCAAACCTTCACAAAACCTCACCAAGTTCTGTCCAGCTATGTGCTCAAAATGTTCCAAACACAGATGGTTTTACCAAAATATGGTTGAATACCAGTGTGACCAGATGAGAACAGGTGAAATTCGGGACAGGGTACTTGGGAATGGGCGTGGCTCCAGTAGCCGACATTACATTCAGTGTTAGACAATCATGTGTAAGTCAAAACTCAATGCTTAAATTTATTATTTTTGTTCATGAAGTATCATTAGTTAGAAAAATACAATGACTGTGTGTATGTACCAGTGTGTTTTGAGAAGCCACCTAGGCCAAAATTGAATACACATAGATACATACACACTTGCACATACATACATACAGATTTAGTTTTTTTAGACGCTTATCTGTTATTGTGATGTTCATGGAAGAGGAAAGTTTTTGGCTGTTTGATAAGTTATTATAAAGTACATTTACTCGTGTGGCAGACACTTTAATCCCCCACCAAAATGTAAAGTAACTTGTCATAACTGGGATTTGAACCTGGAATCTACTGCATGAAAAACAAATTCACTGCCACCCACACAGGTATAAGAATCAGAATCAGAAATACTTTATTGAACCCCGAGGGGAAATTCTGTGTCACAGCTGTATAAGGAATAGAAATAATAATAGAAAATTAGTATATAAAGAAGTATATAAATACCAGAGTAAAAATATAAATGCAAAGAAAATATAAATGAATGTTACGGTTAGGTGAATGCAAAGAAGGAGAGAGCCCAAATGCACAACACTGGAGAGCAGACATTCAATTCAGGGGATTTTAATCCAAAACACCAGGCATGAACAAAACTCACAGGTAGCGGAAACTGGCAAAATCCAAGTAAAGAACTGGTAGTACAGCAACAGGCAGAACACTTATCATATGACAATGACCAGACAGGGACTGAACAGAAACACCAAACATATATACACTCACCTAAAGGGTTATTAGGAACACCTGTTCAATGACTGGAGTTCAATGAACTCCAAACTGAATGTCAGAATGGGAAAGAAAGGTGATTTAAGCAATTTTGAGCGTGGCATGGTTGTTGGTGCCAGACGGGCCAGTCTGAGTATTTAACAATCTGCTCAGTTACTGGGATTTTCACGAACAACCATTTCTAGGATTTACAAAGAACGGTGTGAAAAGGAAAAAACATCCAGTATGCGGCAGTCCTGTGGGCGAAAATGCCTTGTTGATGCTAGAGGTCAGAGGAGAATGGGCCGACTGATTCAAGCTGATAGAAGAGCAACTTTGACTGAAATAACCACTCGTTACAACCGAGGTATGCGGCAAAGCATTTGTGAAGCCACAACACGCACAACCTTGAGGCGGATGGGCTACAACAGCAGAAGACCCCACCGGGTACCACTCATCTCCACTACAAATAGGAAAAAGAGGCTACAATTTGCAAGAGCTCACCAAAATTGGACAGTTGGAAAAATGTTGCCTGGTCTGATGAGTCTCGATTTCTGTTGAGACATTCAGATGGTAGAGTCAGAATTTGGCGTAAACAGAATGAGAACAGAACGGGAGCTTCGTGCCCTGGATGTGCATCCCACAAATCTCCATCAACTGCAAGATGCTATCCTATCAATATGGGCCAACATTTCTAAAGAATGCTTTCAGCACCTTGTTGAATCAATGCCACGTAGAATTAAGGCAGTTCTGAAGGCGAAAGGGGGTCAAACATAGTATTAGTATGGTGTTCCTAATAATCCTTTAGGTGAGTGTACACCAGGAACTAACGAGCAGGGCAGGAACAGCACAGGTGATCAGGGCTAACGAGACAGGCAGGCAGCGGGATTACGGGTTTAGTGAAAACTCTGAGTAAGTTGTGCCCACGATGAGGCAAACTCTGGGTTTTCGGTTTCAGAGAGCAAGATCAGATAAACTCTAGGTCTGTAACCCCGGCAGTTTACGCTGTGAACCTAACCTGCTCGGGAGGAGGTTTACTTCAACTAACGCTGAGTTTCTCTCTGACTCCTCCCCTCCTGTAGAGCTTGAAGCAGCTGTCTGACATTTCCTCATTCAGACTGTCCATATCAAAGCACATATTGGAACACAGTTACGTCTTTAGAAACACCGAAATCACGGTTAAATAGGCTGTTTTTTTTTTTTTTTTAAATAAATGTAGTTTAAAAGTGAGTTTTTCATTATCTGCTGATAGTCTGAATGCGTTTTGACAGCATTTCATAAAATACGAAATGAGCAAGATTTTATTAATGTAAAATAGATGCTTAAACTTCACAGTCAGTTTAAACCTAGACAAATAAAGTATTTATGATTCTGACACATTTTACATTACAAAAACATAATTAATAGGGCTACTGAGTCGGACTGTCACTTTACAATCACAGGTCCATGAGTAGCCTAAACTGTGTCTAATCTGTTCCATTAAAATTTTGATCTTCAGTTATTGCCACTGGCAGTCCCGTCCGTTTACAGCTGAATAAACAGGCCTGTAGCCTATTTAAAATGAATAACAGGCTGTAGGAGAATTCCAGCACTTTATCATTCATTAAGGAAATTCCAGTCTGGTAAATGATGAATGAGCAACACTGTATAAAATGTAATATTGTTAACATATCGATCCTCCACTCCTGTATTTTAGAGCCAATCATGGTCCACGTTGGCACGCATTCATATTTCTAGCTCCACCCGATAAAAATGGAGGCTCTGCCTTTATTTACCCGTTACCATGGTGAATCGGAGCTCCATTGGTGAGGCTTTTTTTCATCCCCACGCACGCGCTTCCATCAGGCTCAACATACTCAGAGTTGACTGAACTTATTCTGATCGGCCTTTCTGAAATGGAAAACTCAGTTTGACAGCTCAGAGTTCTTCAACCCAGAGTTCAGGTTTACACTCAGAGTTTGTTGAAACAGGGCCCTGAACACAGAGCAGACATGGGCAAATTAACAACAAACACAGAAGTACACAGACCAGGAGTAAACACTAAGACATAAGACACAGAAGTAGGAACTAAGACACAGAAATGGAACGCCAGACTAAGTAGTAAGACAAGAAAACAATGAGAACCAACACAAAAATCCCCACAAGAATAAACAAGGCGAAACAGTGTAACACAAGACATGGAACCAGAACACATAAACACAAAACATGGACTAGCTGTATCACAGAACGGGGTAGGGAACAGAGACAGGACCAACCAGGAAACCAGACAACACTAAACATGGAACAGAATAGAAATAAGGAAAATACCCAAACACCACTAAACACTAGCTGACAGATAATAACCAGATAAATAATAACCCAGACTAAATAACAGATACAGAACTGATCCATAAGTAAACTCACAGAGAACTAAACTCAACAGAACAGATGACAGGACTAAAATGCAGATACAAAACCGACCTTAGAATCAAGAACCTAAAACCCAGAAACAGAGAAACAAGAATCAAAATCCAGCAAAGGCACAGCCAAAATAATAAAACACAGACAACCTCAGGACAGGATCATGACAATGAGTGTGGATATGTAGGGGAGAGCGGGGTATGTTGTCACACTTTTCACACTGTAAAATTGAATAAATAGTTGCAGAATTGCAGCAGAGAATATTGCACATTAGGTTTCTAAACAAATATTATTGTGCAAAACAGATGATAATGTCCAGTTTAATAACTAACTAAGTGTCCCTGTAGCAGTCACTTAGAGGGAGGAGTTATAGAGCTTGATGGGCACGGGCAGAAATTACTTCCTGTGATGCTCTCTCATTTTGGGGGAATAAATCTTGTATTGAAGTGCTCCTGTGTTTGAGCAGCACATCATGGAGTGGGTGGGAGAAATTGTACAAGATGACATGTAGCTTGGACATCATCCTCCTCTCCGACACCACCGACAGAGAGTCCAGCTCCACCCCCACAATTGGCCTTGCGTATCAGTTTGTTGAGTCTGTTAGTGTTCGCTATCCTCACCCTGCTGTCTCAGCATACAGCAGCAAACAAGATAGCACTGGCCACCACAGACTCATAAAACATCCTCAGCATTGTCCTGCAGATGTTGAAGGACCTCAGCCTCCTCAGAAAATAAAGACGGCTTTGGCCCTTCCTGTAGAGGGCTTGAGTATTCTTGACCCAGTCCAGTTTATTGTCCATGTGCACTCCCAGGTATTTGCAGTCCTCCACAACATCCACACTGACCCCATGGATGGAAACATTAACTGGTGCCTTAGATCCGTAACCAGCTCCTTAGTCTTTGTCACGATGAGCTGTAGATGGTTCTGCTCACACCATGTGACAGAGTAGGGCTGGGGCGATGTAATCAATTACGTAAATACATCAACTCGCATCACATGTGTCGAAGCGTCGTTGCGTCCGGTGTTAGTGGTATTCCCCCCGGCAAGCTCCAGCTACAGGACCGTGCCTTCGACTGGTCTAAAGTTTGGGAGTGTTTTAGACAGTCACTCACATTTACATTTACATTTACTCATTTGGCAGACGCTTTTATCCAAAGCGACTTACATTTGAGGAACAACATACAAGCATCAACAGAGCATCAACTACAGATCTACAACTGACAATACCTACTAGTAAGAGCAGCAATAAATATTAAGAGCTAAGAACTGTAAGAGCTCACAGTACATATCACATCAATGGGGTAGATACCTAGGGAAGGAAGTAAGAGTTAACAAAAAGTGCAATCAATACAAGATCATTGTAGGGGATAGAAGAATAGCACAGGAAGTGCATGTTAGAGGTTAGAAGTTAGAGGTGTTATAAGAGGAAGAGATGAGTTTTCAAGAACTTCTTGAAGTTAGAGAGGGACGCCCCTGCTCTGATGACGTGTGGTAGCTCGTTCCACTATCGTGGTGTCACAGATGAGAATAGCCGGGACTGGGA